CTTATTTTGGATTATTTCAGAGTCATTTTGGACACATTTTTAGTCATTTTCAACAGTTTTTAAACAATTGTGGATATTCTTGTCAGTTTAGAGAAATGTTTTGTCATTTTGAACAAGTTCTGAGGTATTTGGGGCAGTTTTAGAGACATTTCCGATACTTCTGAATACGTTTGGATGATTTTTAAAAAGTCTTGAACGAACTTTAAGTATTTTGTGAGTCATTCTGGAAGAGCTTCAGATCATTTTGTACTTATTTTAAGACATTTTCTTGGCAGTTTGAACACATGTGGAGTCATGTTGGACGTGTTTCTGAGCTGGTTCTGTGTCCTGCTGCAGGTGCTGAAGGCTCCGGTGGAGGAGCTGGACCGGGAGGGCCAGAGGCTGCTGCAGTGCATCCGGTCCAGCGACGGCTTTTCAGGGAGGAACTGCATCTCAGGTTCCGCTGACTTCCAGAGCCTGGTGCCGAAGGTAAACCCAGAACCCAGGAACATCCACTCAGGAGACGATGGACTGAGTTTAGTGGTCGGACCTGCAGATCAGCAGCTTTTATATCAAGTTAGAGAAGAAGAATAAAAGAATTCAGGCCCTGAAATAGAAATCCAGTGAACAGTCACTGAGACCGACCATTTCTGAGTCAAGTTTTGAGTCATTCAGACATTTTCTGGCATAATTTCAGTCATTTTTGAGTAGTTTTAGGCACATTTGGGAACGTTTTGAGTCGTTCTAGACGAGCTTTGCACCATTTCTTTAATATTTTAAGTCATTTCAGACATTTTTTGTGTCACTTTGGATATTTTTCTAAATTGTTTGTGATGATTTGATATCATTTGGACAGTTTTGAGTCATTTTGGAGAAATTTTAGGAACTTTGGGACAAAGCTTGATGGAGGAGTTTTGCATCATTTTGAATACATTTGAAGTCATTTTCAACATTTTTTATTTTATTATTTTTTAAAATAATTTTTTAGGTCACGTTGGACTTTTTTTGTTTCCGGTTTCATTTTCTAATCATTTAAATCATCCTGGGAGGATTATAACACATTATGGGCGAGTTTTAAGTCATTTTGGACCATTTCTGAGTCACAATATCTGCATTTCTCTCAGTAAAGTCGTCCCAATTGTTAGAATAGTTGTAAACCAAATTAGTGGTTTTTGACAATCTCTAAGTCATTTTAGATTTTTTTTTTTTTTTGTCAGTTTGGACAAATTTTAAGTCATTATGGATCATTTCAATCTAATTTTTAGTCGGTGTGGACAAATTCTGAGTCACTTTGACATATTTTAGATGATTTGTGGCATTTTCTGTCATTTTGGACCAGTTTTTAATCACTGAGGATCATTTTTAAATCGTTTTGGACCAAATATGAAACATTCCAGGCAGGTCTCAAGTCATTTTGGGACATTTTTAGTCACAATATCTGCGTTGTTTCTCAGAATCTTGTTATGAATAATAAAAAAGAAATATTTTAGAAAGACTGTATTAGAATATATTTACTTTCAGTTCTTTTTATTTTTAATGTAGTCTTTCTAAAGTATTTATTCGGAGTCAGAAATGGTCCAGAATAAGTTCCTAAAGTGTTTCTGGTTGTTCATAAGAAGAAAAACTCTGCAGGTGGCAGCGTTCAGGAGAATCTGGTGTTGATTTATGAGACGATGCTCCCCAGAGCTGGACTCACTTCTGTTTCTGTTAAATATCAGCTTGAATCTGACAGTTTGAGCTTCATTAGAACGTCTGAGCTCCGCTGCTCGTTAGCGTCCCTCATTAGAGCCTCTCCTTAGCTCGTTAGCTCGTTAGCTCCTCGGGGGAAGCGGCGAGAGAACACAGGAAGAACATGAGCTTTACAAACATTTATATTAGAGCTTCACGTGCGTCTCTTTGTTTTTAAGGGATTTTTGCATTGAAATAAAGATTAACTGTAAAAAAAAAATCATACTCAGAGTTTGTATTTCGCACATTTACAGGTTTATGATCAGATGTTTAGGATCTACTGGAACACTTTGTTCACAGTAACTCCTTGGTGCAGAGGACTTTGTGCAAAATGAATAAATAGTGAAGCATGACAGAAAGAAATCTTCCAGAATAACCACAACAGTGTTTAAAACAACTAAAATGCATCCAAACTTACTAAAAACATGTCTAGAGTGACTTCAGATTGGACCAGAATATTTAAAGATTGTCCAGCGTGACTCAGAAAGGTCCAGAACGGTTTAAACAAATGTCCAAAATGATGGAAAGAATTTCTCCAGAATGACTGAAAAATGGTCCAACATGACAACAAAAGTCCAAAATAACTTAAGATTTTGTTCAAAATGACTCAAAACTTGTTCAGAATGATTTAAAATTTGCCTAAAATGACTTCAAAAATGGCCAAAATGATTTAAATTTGTCTAAAAGGACTCAAAACTTGTCTAGAAGGACTTAAAATACATCCAGAATGACTGAAACAAGCTGCAGGACTTTTATTTGCACAAACAGCAGCTGTAAAAAACACTGAAGGAAACGAGGAGCCTAACAGCAGGAGACTGGCTCTTATTTTAAGGTGGCAGCTAAACACTAAAGAACAAACGGATCAAATAAACGGTGAAGAGAAGCTTCACAAGTCAGAAACTGAATCTTAGAAGATTTAAAATCGGATGAACGTTCTGACAGCTGTTGTCTTTCTGCAGGTGGCCAGTCTGCTGGATAAGCTCCACTCCACCCGGCAGCATCTGCACCAGATGTGGCACGTCAGGAAGCTGAAGCTGGACCAGTGCTTCCAGCTGCGCCTCTTCGAGCAGGACGCCGAGAAGGTGAGTCGCACCTGAGCAGCCGGCGGGAGGTCCGAGGTGACTCTAGAAACACCTAAAGTCTGTCTGAAGTGACTCCAAGGATGGCTGACATGAAAAAACTTCATAATGACTTCAAATTAATCCAGAATCACTCAACAAATGTCCAAAAATTTGTCCTAAACAACCAAAAAAAACCAACAAAACTTTTTTAAACTTGTCCAAAATGACTCCAAACCTGCTCAGTGACTGAATATTCATCGTACATGCCTTTAACTTTCTCCAGAACCACTTAAAATGGTTTAAAGTTATTAAAAAATCGTAAATAAAAGAAAATTACTAAAAGTGCCCAAATTGACTTCATATTTGTCCAACAAATAATGAAAAGAATGAAAAAAACAACTTAAACCGTTTCAGACATGACCGGAAAAAATCCCAAATGGCAAAAAAAACTTTCAGTGACTTAAAATGACTTAAAAAGGTACAAAATTACTTCAAACTAGCTCAAAATCTGTCCAAAATGACCAAATAAATGCCCAGAATGACCTAATATCAACCCAGAATGGCTCAGACATTAGAAAATAAAATATATATGTTAAAAGTTCTCAAACTGACTTAAGATTTGTCCCAAAAAAATGGAAAAAACAAAAAAATAAACTTAAAACTGACCAGAAAAATACCTCAAATTACCTGATATTATTCCAAAATGACTCAAAAATGATTAAAGTGCCCAAATTGACCAAATAAATTAACCGTATTACGTTTAAAACGACCGTAAAATCAAAAAACTACATTTCTTTAAACTTGTCCAATAAGACTCAAAACCTCTTTAATGACTGAACATCTCTGGAAAATAACTTAAAGATGCAGAAAAAGGCTTAAAAGCAAAAATAATGCTGTAAAAATCCAAATTTCAAGTTAAAAGTTGGAGCAACTCAACACAGTAAATTAAGCTTTCTGTCTTTTTTTTCTGAGGCTTTTATTGTGAAGGAGCCTCAGGAGCGTGTTGGGAGCAGGACTGAGCCGTTATTTATAGCCCAGCGGGTCTTTAATGTTCCCCGGCAGGTCCAGAACCTCCCTGAGGACGGCGGTTTCTCCAGCGTCGGCGGCGTTCGGAGTCTAAATGCGGCGCTTGTTGTTGTTTTGTGGAGACTCGTTGCTTCACTCGCTGATTAGCTGCGGCTGTGAGCGAGTGTTTGGATTCCATTCATCATTAACATACCAGCGTGTTTACAACAACAACACGAGTCCCGCTTCGGTCCAAACGCCTTTATATGGAAACAGGCATGTGGAGCCTCGCTTTAACCCTCTACGTCCCGCACGAGAACCAGAACTCTGCGACCGGGTTCAACAAATCCAGACTTTGTTTACGTGAGTCGACAGAAACTAAAACCAGAGCCAGAGAGACCCGGTTCACGTGGAAGGAGACGAGTCATGTGACTCTTCTTCTGCATGAAATCAACCAATCAGACTCCTGCGACTTCAGTCAACAGGTTGTTTTAATGCAGAGCTGAGAGGAAAATAAACGTTTATGACATGAAGAACCGCTGCTGCTGCATCGACACCGGACAGAACCGCTGGTAGAAAACTCTGGGTTCATATGTTTAAGTTACTGATCAGTGCAGCTGATTAGCTCCAACATTAGAGCTGTTACACCTCAGACATTTAAACACGATATTCTGCACATATTTATTTTTTTCATCAGCAGCTGAACACATGTAGGTTTCCATGGCAACGTGGTGCATCCAGTGTGTGACGGTGGTTTCAGTAACGAACAGATCTGCAGGTCCACAGAGAAAACATCATCATCAGGAAACAGTTTGGTGAGAGGGAGACGCTTCTTCTAGCGGGTTTTAATCTGAACTCTGAACAGAACGTGCTCTGGACCAGGTTAACATCAGTTACCATGGAGATCCAGCCCTATAGGATCAGTTACCATGGAGATCTAGCCCCCTAGAATCAGTTACCATGGAGATCTAGCCCTGCAGTGTCAGTTACCATGGAGATCTAGCCCCGCAGCATCAGTTACCATGGAGATCTAGCCCTGCAGTGTCAGTTACCATGGAGATCTAGCCCCGCAGCATCAGTTACCATGGAGA